TAAAATAAGCCGGGGGGTCCCCACCCGGGGGTTTTTTGGCCCTTCCGGGAAAATTTGGAAAAAAAAAAAAAAAAAAAAAACACTGATTTTTTTTTACATAAATATAGACATAAAACAAATACATTTTTCGATTGTAATAATTGCCCCAATTTTCCACAACATAGTGACTATAAAACAACTGGTAATATGTTGTTTTAACTTTACTTTGAAAAATTTTAACTATGCTGAAAATTGTGTACATTTCAGAATCAGAACTTCAAAATTCTGACTTTGATTTCAAAAGTTCATAGCATTCAGACATTAAGTATATACAATTATACATTAGAGCAGATGACTTTTATTACATCGAGTTAATTAAAGTCCTTAAAGGGCCGGTTGTGGCAGAATGTTTAGATAATCCTACCTATTAAAATATTATATTTGGATTTAAAATTCAACAACATTAAAAATCTTTTCATACTGATGTAATTTGACACTATACAAATAAAAAAATTATTTGATTCACTAAAATAATATTCAAGCACACAAGTGTTATCTTGACGGTCTATTTAAACGGACCTCCAACATATAGAGGGCCGCAAAAACTCGATATGGTGGACCAAATTTGGCCCGCTGGCCTTGAGTTTGAAATATGTGGTTTAGAGAAAATCAAATAAAGAATTTTTTTACAGTGTTTTCATAACGTTTATCAACACCCCATAGCAAAACAACTGCAAAAATGTTGTTTTATTTTAAAATGTAAAAAAAAAAAAAGAAAAAAAAAAGGTTCTTTAAAGATTTTCTTTCGCTCACGTTTGTCAAAACATTACAACCAGCCTTTTTTCTAAAGATGATGCTACATTTGTGGCTTTAAAAAAGTTTTATTTAGTTGGACTGATGTCAAAATGGCTCTCTCACTTACACAGGCTGCAGACCCCACAGTTAGACAAAACAAGCATATAGAAAAGTACCTGCAGCATCGACTTTGGATGAGGCAACTCTTCACCCTGGTAAATCTTAATGTATGCCTGAAGCATGAGGAATAAAGACAGGAGGTGAGGAAACTTTCCGTACGTAAAATACAAAGTGATATGCTCTTGTATCCACTTGACTGGTTCTGACCTTGAAGTACTCCAGCAGGCCTCTGCAGGTGATCTTGCTGCCGTTGATCTCCTTCACGTCGATGTTGCGGGGGCTGAGGATCCAGGGCACCAGGACCTTCAGGATGTTGATGAACTCACCATCAATCTCTAGAGACGAACAAACAGTTTGTGATATAATCTGGAAAGAGATCATTCATTTATTTTTTGCTCTCAGTGTTTTATTTTGGGTATTTAAAAAGGTTGCACAATTGCAGTGCGAAGTGTTCTGTGCAAAATTAAAGTTTATGAGTCGATAATTATCCCATTATTGACACGTTACTTGAAAATGGTCTAAAAACACAAAGAAAAAACAGTGTTGGCGTTTAGCGCAATAATTTCTCTGACATACAGCAAAATTTAATATCATGACAGGTAAAGTTGTTTTAAGTCTTATTATCCGAGAGTCTGTGTGTAGGAAGGAATATTTTAACTGTGTTAAAGTACAAGTCGCTGCGTCATTACAGAAGAAAAATGAAAACGAGGAACAGTGGGGAACCTTTCCCACCAAAAACACTCAAATGGCTCGTTGACGACTTCTCCAAGAAGAGTCGCAAACAATTTATTGACATTTAAGGTGCTACAGACCATTTTTATATCTATTTTATAACCTAAAGTTAGAGATTAAAATCAAAGTTTTGAGAAAAAAAAAAGCAAAATCCTGACATTAAAGTCTACATTTTTTTTGTTAGCAACCCTAATCCTTTTCCGTAGTTACAGCTCGTCTCCAAGTGGCAAAACGTGACATGCAGACATCTTCCAAGTTGAGATGCAACAATTGAAATTTCCTGCCCGATCACGATTTTTAAAAAACCTGAACTGCTGAGACCAATATTTTTTTCTTTTTTGTCTGAAATGTCGATAAATACAACAACAAAGATGCTGAGTCATCAACAGTGAGGTGACGATTGCAAGTATCGACCGATCTGCCATTTCCAAAGAATTAAAGAAATCCACCAGCTGATTTGTCTGGTTGCAATGTCCCTCTAAAAAAAAAAAAAATATATGACGATGTACCTTTAATTCTTCCGTCAAAGTGAGGGTTGGTGGCCACCTTGAGGCCGGGGTGAGGCATCAGGAAGCAGTTGATGTTGGTGAAGCAGGAGTGGATGTGTTTACGCACGTTCTGAAGCTCCTCGTGCTGGTTCTCTGAGATCTGCAGCAGAAGCACACGGTTCTGGTTCTACGTCTGATTTAATTAGCCCAGCCTTATTAGCAACAAGCTCATCTCATTGACATCCAATGTAAGTTTGTGACTAGGACTGTGGAATCAGAAACAACTGGCCTTCAGTCTCTTCTCCAGGAACTTCATGCCCCCCTCCTGTCCGTAAGGAAACTCGTATGGAAAACTCCAGTCCCGAACCAGGAAAATCAGGGACTGGAAAAGAAAATAAACCTGTATGTAGCTCTGCACTATAAGGTCAAATTTAAAATAATTCTTCTCTTTCAACTTTATTTTAACATGTAAAATAATCCGTGTTTAATTTAGTGTAAATTTGTTTTAAAGCATCACTTAATTGGAAGCACGTTTAATACCTGGAAAGGTTTAAGGAAGGTCTCCTCCATCGCTAGTCTTCCATACTCGGTGAAAAGCTGAAATAATAAACACATCATCAGTGATGATTTGAAATATTTAATTTTAGCTCCACACTTTAAGTTACCAATAAAGTCTGAGTTTGCTTGATCATAAACCATGCTCATATTCAATTTCAATTTCAATAGAAATGCTAATTTTCGAATGATAATGTATTCCAAAACTTGCCTTATAATGTTTTTTTTTTTTTACCTGCAAGTGCTGGAGGTCATCCTCTTGTACATTCTGTGATATATTGTAAACCTAAAAGAGACAGTTTCCTTACTGTTTCGATATGCTGGGAACATTTAAAATGCTGTTGTGTCAGAGCAAGAGAGGAAAAACAGGATGAGGTTTTTCTTTTTTTTTTTTTAATTCAGGGTACAGCTGCTTCCTTTGGACCTGCAGACCTCACCGCCCGGTGCTCTCAGACGGCACTAAACTGTGGTACCTGCATGGAGCTGATCATGGTGCTCAGGGCGAACACAGTGGCCGAGTCCCTCAGCGTGGATTGGCTGTCAAACGTGCCCTGCGTGTCCATCAGCAGCACGGCGACCTGTGTCATCAGGCACGAAAAGAAACTGACCCGTTTGTGTGTCTGAATGTTTTCTACGGTCACAGATGTGGAAATAAAAACAAAACAAAACCTTCAAATAAATTCTTGCAGTTCTAAAATTTCAATGGAAATTTTTAGAAAATCCAATGTATTCCACAGGGAGGAAAAAAAAAAAACGATCCTATCCAAACTCTTCTGGGAAGGTTTAGAGGTCTGCTTAGGGGAACATCTGACCATTTTTCTAGGAAAGCATTGGTGAGGTCAGACATTGATGTTGGACACTACGGCCTGGTTCTCAGTTTCTGTTCTGACTGATCCTCAAGGGATTGTATCAAGTTGAGGTCATACCAATAAAGATTGTCCAAAGCAAACTCACTCATTCGTTTTTGTGCTTTGTTTGGCAGCCATGTTGGTACTAAATGGGCCACCTCCAAACTGTTCCTTCAGCATGAAGACCATACAATTCTCCAGAATGTCTTCCCATGGTAGGTTTGACGGGAATTACGTCTCATTTGACACTTACATGGAGACGCTCTTCAGTTAAACTGCAATATTTTTGTTGCGATCATTTACACGACACCTGTGACCGGAGTCTCTCACACCAACACGTTTTGAAACGAGGTCTCAGAGTGAAACTTTTCTGTAAAACTCTCCCCGGGATGTGTTGAATCTCAGATACGCAGAACGCACGACTGAAGAGTTCATTCTGTGCATGCGCAGGCAGATAACAACAAAAACGACGGTGCGTATTGTACTGTCCTGTGCTAATTAGCCTGTTCTGTTTAACACAGTTTCCGATAAGAATGTGTGACATGAGCCCTTCATTCGGCGAAGACTGGTTACTGTTTTCAGTGAGGTGAGATCTAGTGCGGTGGAAGATAAGGGTCAAAATCGCATGCGGGTTTGATGAAATGCTAAAATCACAGCGCCATCTAAAGGCCTGGCATGACTACTACAGCTGATTCAAGGAGTCTCGTCAGTACCGTCAAAACATGGAACTTTTTCCCCAAACATCCAAAAATACCAGCAGTCTCATGGCAACTACCAAACGCTGTCTAATCTATTAGCTAGCCCAACAGGGAAGAAGGAATCATGACTCCAAAACACAAATCCCTACTACACTAGAGTCTGGTGTTGGAGTTCTTTACAGCACTCCATCCGCCACTTCGCATCTTTGAATTGCTCTGCATCTTTGAATTGCTCTTGGAGATGTAGAGCCATGGCAACCCGTTAATGAAGCAATGTTCCTGGACTAATCTGAAACCCACGTGAAGCTTATAGTTATCCACTCTGCACATAGCTGGTAACTTCTACACACTGGTCTGCATGCGGTTTCCAACACTATTCTTTCCTCCATGTCTGAGTTCCTAATGCTCTTCAGAGCGACCTATTCTTTCTCAAATATTTGCAGAAGCAGTCTGAATGTCTTGTTGGTGTCTTTCCTGCACCTGTGGGTGTCGAAGTGGTTAAAACACTCGAGTTCAGTCATTTAGAGAGGTGATCTAATACTTTTTCAACTATATGTTCTGCTGACTTTGTTTTTTATCATAAGAATAAGACCTAAAGATGCCTCTTTTTCATTTTACTGGTCTTTTCTAGTCTATGATACAGAAAAACAGACCTGAATTGACTTAGAATTGTTCTTTCTTTTTCATCAGAGATATAAATGTACTGAATTACAATTACAATTACAGGCCCACAGCATCACAGATCCCCCACCGCACCTAACCGTAGGTGTATGGTGCTTTTCCCCAGTCATCCTTCATGTCATACTTGACCCACCTTCAAAGGTTGTTGCTCAACCTTCGTCTCATTTGACAAAGTTTGACTTAAACGGCCAGCAGAGTTTAGTAAACTCCACATATGAAGGCAGGACAGAAACGCATCAATCCCAAACAACCGACAGCAATGGTTGTTATGGAGACTTGGTGAACCATTCTGTACTGCAGCACTTTTTTTTTCCTTTACCTCCCTTATCATCCTACTCATTAGCGAGAAAAATATGGGTCCCTGTCCAGCCGAGAAACAGGCCTATGTGTCACGTCATAATAATTCCCCAGGGAAAGTCACGATTTACTAATTAGAGGTGTCTTCAGTGTCCGATTCAGTTCCCCACCAAATTCATGCACTCGCATTAAAAAGCCTTTTCTTTTTTCCCCTGTGTGCCATTATGCTGCTGCAATAAAAATGAAATTATTTGAAGGTTTGGACAAATATTACTTTGCCTGTCCCTGTTTGTCCCTTGTTGTTTTGTGGAGGAATTTATTCTGACCTTCCTTCCGTCTGGTTTGTCCACCAGGAAGACCTCGCTCCAGATTTGGATCCCGGTGGTTTCCCTCTCTGACCCCCCCCTCCAGGAGAAGCCGGTCAGAGGCTCGCTCGCATCTCCGAGCCAGTCTTCAGACGACTGAGCGGCAGAATATGGCAATTTATTAGTCAGACAACGCTTGATCTGCTGATAAGTGGCATTCTGTTTCAGTTAGGAAAGATTCCAACAAAACAAACTTTATGTGCAGCTAAAATGATAAACTAGAGTGGGAATGAGCACTGGGAAAGAACAGATTGTACCCACACATCTGGTGAGGCTATGAGTATGGAGTATACCCTAAGCCCATCCCTAAAAAGAACAATATGCAGAGAGCAAATACATGAATTTTCTACATTTTGCTACATTATACATTTCAGTCTATTTTATTGGGATTTTATATGATAAACCAATGTATAAAAATGTAACAAACCATTCCGATTTTTCTTTATAAATTAAAATTGGGAAATGTTGCTATCTAACAGGTTTTAGAAAAGCTTAAGGAAAAGTGTCCTCACAGCCCGATGCTTCCACCATGTAGGTCTGCATTTGTGTGGCCTACAAATGCAGGCCACACTTTTCAGCAAGGAAAACCCGGACTCCGTTTTAGTCCTCTTTGTATTTTTCCACCACTTTTTGTTGGTCTATCATATAAAATCCAAATAAAACACTTTAAAGTTTGTGGTTGTGCTATGAGAAAATGTGAAAAAGTTTAAAGGAGCAGTATTGTGCATTTTTCTATCGCATAATCAAGTAATGTTTTTAATTTCAGATGTCAGAGAAATGCTCTATACATCAAAAATGACTTAGAGACTTCTTATTTAATTTAATACTTTGAAATTGGGCCTCTGTCTCTTTAAAACTCATGTTCTTTCTGAAACTCCTATAATGAGCTCAGCAGATGGAGAGTTCAGTAACACTTTATATGAAGGGGTGTGTATAACACTGACATAATACCTGTCACGAACATAAAGAAGTCTTTATGAATGTCTATGACAGTTGTCATGAAGTGTCATTCAGTAAATAATGACACTTCATGACACTGTCATAAACATTCATAAAGACTTCTTTATGTTCATGACAGATGTTATGTCATGTTTATGACAGTGTCATGTCAGTCTTATGCACACCCCTTCAAATAAAGTGCTACCCAGAATTCCTCCAGGTGTATGCTAATTGCTGCTGGCTAGTCTGAAGGAGCTGAGTGTGAGGACTGATAGAGGAGGAGGAGCTTTGTCTCGAAGGCGGAGCTAGGTCTCCCCAGGCGTTTTGCACAGCTAAATGGTTGCCACGGGAGATTCAGGGATTTCTCAAACATGCATGAAAGAGTCGAAGCAAAACTCTAGGTATGTTTTTGATAATGGAATAACATTATAGCATCAATTTTACATAATACTGCCCCTATCAGGGGTGTGAATACTTCTGAAATATACTATGAAGTAGAGGTAGCAGAGCGGCTGGAGACTAATCGGAGAACACTTTGGGATATTTGGTAAACCTTTATAGGCCAGAATTTATTTTTACCACTTCAACAAGAAGTCGCACTTACATGGTTGTACATGTAGCGCAGCATGAAGTCCATGAGGAAGGACTTGCCCTTGCGGAAAGCCCCCGCCACGGAGATGGCCACCACCTCGCGGTCCCTGACCTCCTCGGACAGCAGGATCCGACTCAGCGCTGCCTCGTCCAGCTCAAAGGTGTGGTCGTCTTTGACCAGCAGCACCTGGATGGGCCGAGCTCGTCCGTCCGGCTCCTCCTCCTCGGAGCTCCACTCATAAACATTTTTGTCACTCAGGGACCCTGAAGGACAAATCAGAGGAGCGCGAGGAGAGGACAGGGTGAGCTCAACACGTCTCTGCGACGAGGCGACCAGAGACGCGTTGCCGTGAAACTGATAGAAGAGGCAGCAGGTTCTGTCCGCTGTGATGACAGGCCAGACCTAGCAGTCCATTAAGTGAGAAGGCAGGAAAGACAAACCCCCGGTTTTGCAAGCGATAATATTCATTATGGTCAATCAGTTCACTGTGTCCGTCCAATCTCCTGGAGCTCAATGAGATCATGAGGCCTAAAAGGTTTCCGAGCAGCAAGGAAGCTAACATATTTACATACCATCCAGACTTCTTAAATAACTCAAACAGCTCGGATAGAAAGCATCTCTTAAAAACAACATATCTGAGATTATTAATTGGATTACAATTTGGACTTTGACTAGGTCATCCCAAACTAATGAGCTAAACTGTTACATTGTAGGTTCAGATATTGTTTTTTTTTACACTGTACTCTGTTTACAAATGAGTTAATTTCTGCAAACTGGATTTTATTTATGTCTAACAGAGTAAAGGGAGCTCAATACAAGGCGTACACCACATTTTTTCTGAATTTTACACACACACAAAAAAATCACGAAATATGCACCACCTTTTCCTTTGGTCTATTGTGTAAACTAACATTAGATACATTGATGTTTGTGGCTCTTACATGATGAAAAGTTACAAAGGAAGACACTGTAGCTATCTACCACAACCACCCAGCCTGCGCTTCAGGAAAATGTGATCTTGCCTTCCAGGAAGTGACTTGAAATTAAAGTCTGGCTATAGCTCCATGTCACAAAGTAACGGCCAACATTTTGGGTCGTTTTATTAGACATGACACAGAACAACTTGATCGTACAGGGAGTAATTTGATCAGCCGTTCTTCCGCTTCTTCTCTGTTTGATTTCCCACTGCAGGGGCCTCCTCCTAGGCCCCGGCAGACGACCTGATCACGCTGCTCCTGCCACTGCCCTTAAAACTGCTGAAGACGTCAGAAGCTGAATTAAGTGGGTCAGAGCGGCTCAACTCTGACGGCAAACAGCAGCAGCTTTTCATCTTTTCCCCTCGTTTCTCACACAGACCTCTCCCCACTACCCCCTCACAAGCTGGTTGGACTCTAAAGTGATGTCAGAGATGGATGCTGGTAACCACTGTAACCCTGATGATGGCAGCTTAGGGTAATGATGGGAATACAGATTTGGGATTTCTGATGCAAGATTGCATCCATTTTACCTCAAAGGCGTCACGTAGCTTCAGAAAAATTGAACAGTAAACTGTAAACATTGCGAATAAAATTGTGATTTTTGGGCCTGCAGAGGCCTCAGCTGTCCGAACAGAGCGTTTTCTGTCAACCAATCACCGTATTTCATCTATGTAATGGTAATGTATATATATATACCATTAATGATTTTTAATGAACATGTCTCGTTGTGCCTGCAGAGGCCAACCGCAGCACGGTGTTTTCTTCCATACCAACAAGATGCAGATGCCGAGACATTAGAATGCACGGAACAGCTTTGGTCTCAATGTCCCGAAACGAAAACAAACCGAGCATATGACAGCCAGAGCGCTGCATCGTTCCCACCCTTTGTGTGAAATATCAAATGTTTTTGTACGTACACTCACCCCAGCTGTCTCTCTCGGGACGGTGTTTCACCATGATGCGGTCCTGTTATCCCCCGGCTCGAAGCGTAAATGAGCGACCCTAGTCGGTAGTCATGAGCGTACAGAGCTGGGAGGATGCCCTTATCTCCAGCACAACGACGTTCCTGTTGCAGGAGGATGATGGTGCTTTTATTCACCGCGTGAAACGCTCATCTCGTCGCCAGAGGGCGCTGCTGTCTGTTGTCCCAGCACTGAGCGGCGAATGGAGTCTAATTAAAAATTCATAGAACTGTACACAAAGTGTGCATTATGTGAAAATGCCTCAGCTATATATATAAAAAATCGAATATGTGCTTTGCAGTGGTGAACAATTATTTTTATAAAACTGCCCATGCAGTTTATAGTTTTGTCGGTAGGTGGCGACATTGCCCAAATGTTGGAACCTATGCTGCCTTCAGAGACATAACGGAGTTTTTTATGTGATAAGGAAAGGGAAAGGTCCTTATTTCGTCATTTAATCCCTTTGTGGTTTTCTTCGTTTCTGGCACATGGTCCTTCGAACTTTCCTTGAGAACATTTCAGACTTGCTCTGGCAAACAACAATTTAAAGTAATATAAAATAGTTTCTATCATCAGGAGATAGATTTCACGGTCATTTCAGTTTCATCAAAAATAATCTGTTATATCTGGACCAATAATAAATAGCATGCAACACAAAATCATAAATAAATGTTAACTAGATGTGAGCTTTAAGAATTATTATGACTATGAATTTTTTAATATGGATTTTAATTGTGACACTTTTGCCCTTACATAACAAACTGGTGTGCGTAGTTACAAAAACTTCTGTCTATTGGTTCAAAATGAAAGTGGTGATGGACGAAACTGAACGAATTGACTGTAAATTAAACAAAACAAAAAAATAGTATGTCTTTAAAACAAAGATGTAATTTATTTAATTAATTAAAGTTGAAGTCCATGTTATTGTGGCGACCGCATTTTATATAAATTATATAATCATTGTCGTGTTTTGTATGAGTAATCAGCATTATACCAATTCAGGTATTAACTAGCGAAAATTGCAAGTTTTATATGTGGATAAGAAGATACGGTGTTTAAAAAAAATCACCAGTCTAATTTTTCTTGGTACCCTGAATGCACCGTAAGACACAGACCATCGGCAGCACAGATTAGCAGGACACTGTTGCTTTAGAAGAGAGCGTTTTCCCTAACTAAATACTTAAAACAGTTCATTTATTAGCCCCGTGTGACGATGGAGTTCAACACATAATGTCCGAGCTTCTTTAAAGCTGCCAGCGGAGGGAAATGACATGTCAACGGGGAAACTTGGGGCTGAGATTTCTGGGGGGATTGAAGTAAACTGTGACGCCTGTTCTGCTCTGAAAGAGACGGAGTGAGCTGCAGCCAACTGAAGTTTACTACTGTTTCCTCGATAACAAAGGAGCAACATTTTTACTTTCTGAAGCCTTTATTCGACGCCACAACAATAGTTAAAGACTCGGAGGGGATTCAAAATGCAAGACGGAGGCATTTGGTGCGTTTGCGTTGAAAAAGGTAAGCCCAGTTTGAAGTTAAAAGCAGGCGGAGAGCTAAGCTTGTGTGTTAGCTAGCATTAGCCTATGTGCCCAGTCGCTAAGCCCTTGGCTGGCTGTGGCTATTTGCTGGAATGTCCACAATTTTCCTGGTAAAAGTATCGCAAAGTGATGCTTATAGATCGAGGCTGTTATAAAACAAACTCCTTTGAGCTAGAATTGATGACTCAACTGATCTTATGTGCTTGAACTATTGCGCCGCAAACAAAGAGAAATGTCACTCTAAGAACTCGTGTTTTATAACACTTGTTCTCTTTAAAGGAGAACGCGTAGTGGGATTAAAACTTTAATTTAGCCCTCTTAACACTTTCCCAAACTTTGTCTCTGCGTCAGGACATGAAGCTCAGAGAGGCGCCGTCTGAATAGCATTGGTCGAGACTGTCCTCCCAACCACCCACAGCACGTTTAATCAAGCCAACTAAATGTAAAGGATCCCTCGGTTTCAAGCCACCATGGATATCTATCCCCGGCCGAGCGGCGAAATTCAGAGGAGGAACCCCCAGCATGACTTTGAGCTCATTCAGAGGGTGGGAAGCGGAACATATGGAGACGTGTATAAGGTAGGCTCAATTTGCTGGTTCCCACAGTCTGTCACAGGAGCTGGAGATGGTGTGGTTTACCTAGTTCGTGACTAATCAGCCCATATAAACTGCGTGGTTTGTTTTTGTGAGCCGTTATTAACATGTGACAACCACATTTGACTTTAGTGTTTGACTGAAGCCCAACATCCGTGTTTGTCCTGCAAAAGATAATTATGAGTATGGCTTCATTAAAATTGTGAGATTTTGGCTACATATAGTAATTTCCAGTATTATTCTTTTTTTTTTTAATCTTCTGCAATTTATGGAGCAATTAGCTGCTTAGCTAGTCAGCTGTTTGCTCAGGTAGAGCCTGCAGTCATTGACTTTGACATGCTGTTTGCAGCTTGCGACTTCAAAACAGTGTTACAGGAAGTGCCACATTTAGTTTCCAGACATTGTTTTAAGACAAGAACCTTTTACAAAAAAAAATTGCTTAATTCTCTTAAAAAAAGTGTAGCCGCTTCTGCCAGCTGACTGACAGTGCTCAGAAACAGGTAGGGGAGGGGAAGAGGTGCCTCACTCTGTGCTTCAGTGGGAAGACTTTATGGAGACTCCACATTTTCTGGGACATTATTTAAGGACTTGAGTTGGTAGCAAAAATGTTGAAATAGTTTTTTTATTAAATCATTGTATATTGTCATTCCTTAAACTGGTCATTGCATTTTATTAGTCGTTATTACTAAGTACCAAATGTTTTAGTAAATAATTAGTGTTTAGTTAATACTGACAGCTCAGTTTTCGCTCTGCAGGAACATAATGTCACCAATAACCTCTGACATTTACGTTACATATAGGCAAAGTGCTGCCAAGAAGATCTGATGGAAATTAAAAGGCAAACAATGACGCTAACCAAACCGAAGTAGTCTGCAGTTGTTGTTTTCTTTTTATTTCTGAAACTGTGACAGCGGCACATGTTTGCAAACCATCAGTGTGACATTAAAAGTCTGACTGAACTTATGTTTTCTCACGAGTTTATTGGTTACTTTATACGACGTCTTTTGTGCTAGTGGGCTGCGCAGAAACTTTTTCCACACATCAGTTAATCGTACATTATAAAAATCAACTGAGGTGTTGTAACCTAAAGTGCGGAAACGTTTTCTTTACCTCCTGGACTTGTTTCAGCCTCCCTGTTTTGACGGATCAGGAATTGTCCATTAAAAATAACTACAGACAGAAAATGGCACATCAGATTTCCCCCCCACAGTTATTTCCTTGAGTTTTATTTTCCTGGGCTGCCCCTTGCTTATTTAACCAGCTACAAACTCGCTGACCATCTGATCCAGAGGTGAAAGTACAGCCCGCCTGTCGTGGCCTCTCTCCATACAAAGCTCCTCTGGCCAGCTCCCTGCCCGCCGCCGCCCCCAGACAGGCCACTGGTGGAATGTAGCGCCTGGTATTCACACTGAGCTCCCAGGCGGGACGGCTGCAGCGGGCTGAAATACGATCCAGCCCGTCTAAACACGTGCTTTACTAAAGGGTGTGTTCAGAGCTAAAATGACAGCGGAAACACCTCAAATAGGAAAAATGTCCCCGTTTAGGCTGCCTTGCACAGATCTGTCCCAACCTTTGGATAGTTACTGCAGACTTTTAAAGATGGCTGGGATGCTCCGCAGTAATAAGAACCCAATAGGAAATAAATGGATTTTGTTCAGCTTGTAATGCAGTCGATATTTCTTAAATGTTGGAGCAGGGACATGTTGACATTTATGCTTCTTTATTTCTTTTTTATTTTTAAAAGATATACTTAATTTTTTTTGTCAGTAGAAAATGTTTTTTTTTTTCCATACAGTACAGGGTTTCCTTCACACACTGCAAAATAAAAGCTGCTACATCTTCAAAATGAAGATTTGTTGTTGTTTTTTTAAGTATGTTAAAACAATGTAAAGCATATATACAAACCATAAGCAGAGTTTGAAATTAATCTAAATAAATACCATAAAAGTTTTTTTTACATTGCATTGAAAAATCAGCAATACTAGGCAGCCAAGATGGTGCCTGGCTACTGTGTGCTGCGCTGCTCTCAGGAGTGAAGTAAAACTAGAGACAACCATCTGAAGTAGAGGCTAAAAACATTACCTAAGGAAGGTTGAGCTGAATTCATTTTTCGTTCAGGGTGTAAAAACGACCCTACTGTTAATTTATGTTGCTTTTTGAATGACGGCAACATAGTTAATTAATATAGTTACGGCCTTCCTGCGTAATGTTTCAGTTACAAAGGTTCCCTGGTATGTAATCAGCAGCGTTGTGTCAAACGTTGTGTTTAATATACTCTGTTTCACTGAAAACAACATCTGTGAGAGAACAGGGTCATAAATAAGCACATTCAACTGAGAGGCGCAATATTTCACCTGCTCCACGGATGAGTGTGAGCCGAGCAGGCAAGGTGTACCTCAGACGTCCACACAGTTCCTTTATTTTGTAATCCTTTCCAAATTAAAGTGGAGTGAAAACAGGTGCAGGATGTCTCTGTAGTTGTTTCCATCCGAACTGCCTGGATGGAAAACACAGCAGTGGTTGGAAGGCATCTCGGAATATAAGTCGCACCGAGAGATGAAGTTCTAGAAAGTTGTCAAGTGTTTCAACAACAATTTGCTTGTCAAAGCAACCCTTCAAGTAAGCTGCTTAAAGATGCAGTAAGAGTAATTCATCGTTTCTTCATCAGAGCTGTGCATTCTCACAAGCGTAAATGTTCCATCATGTACAGTCAGTTTACTTATTAATGATGCACGTGTCAGGAAGCTTTGGTCCTGCATACTCGATGCAGAGATGAGACGTCAGGACTTCTGCAGAATACATTCAGAGGTTTGTATTTATTTTCACAAAGTGTAGGAGATTCCAGCAGGCAAGTAGAGGGAGAATCATCCAAAACCTGAGATGACTTCATTTTATCCTGTCTCGGGACAACAGGATTGAAAAACCTGCGTTTTATTGTCCCCTTCTTTGAATTTTTTATTGCTAATTAAATTGCAGGAGAATTCCCTACAGGTGATCTGAGCTTCACAAATCTAGAAGCTCACCAAC